GCGCAGCCTTTATTTGTGTATCAGGCTTATTATGAATGTATCATTATCCTTTGATGACACCATACCATCGATGGCCCTCCCCTCTCCGCTCCTAAATACCCATACCTCAAGACGTAGGAGACCTCACACAGAATACATGTCGTTAATCGCTTCCTTGGAGACTGGTTTCACGCCAACCTGTGACACTTTACGTTTACCCCTTCCCCTCTCTCCACACACACATAATATATATACGCACACAAAGAAGTCCAACAGTCATGCCCATACCTTTGGACATTAGCACTTATAACGCGGGTTTCCCCGTCTTTTGTATCGGTGCGACCCACTCCAAAGACGTCGTCATTGGCGGCGGGGGTGGCCCTGGCTCCACTGGCGTTAGCAACCGCCTGGTAAGTAGCTCCCGCCCCTCTGTCCCTGTCCTTGCTACCACCAAATGAGCCACGCAGATCTGACATTTATATTTTGACGCTTGCATTACGTCAAAATAGGTGGTCCTAAAGCTGTCTATTGAGGAACGGATGCTCGAGAAGAAGACGGTGCTACTGTTGGATTCGGCAGAGGACGCACCTACTTGCCTTGCCATCTCGCCTAAGGTAAGTTAGTATCGCTGGCTGGTGGAGCCTTACCCGGTACGTGTACCCGGCTGTACTTGATATGGGATTTGGTCCGGCATTGCGGTTCCGTCGACTAGGGCGATACGGTGGTCTGCGGCATCAATTCGTCCAACGAGGCGATCAAAGCCGGCAAGAACGAGAATTTCCGCGTGTTTGACTTTGCCAAATCCGAGTCCGTAGTAGTGTACCTAGCTTGCATGGGTCTTGTGTGCACGTGACCCCTAGTGCAGTAAAGCCTGGCTGATACGGTGTGGCCGTGCTTGTTGGGTCTGCTTGTACAACAGGATCTCGCCGGGAACTACTAAAGTAAAGACTGTCGCCAGCACCGATCCCAACGATTACCAGGTACCATTTCACCCTACATCATGCAATATACACACATATATGTGGTGGGGGAGAGAGACAGTATCCCCATATATCCAAGCGCTCTAATAATCGGACTCTATCATAGAAATCTATTGCATTTAACCACAAGTCTGATATGGTCGCTAGCGGAGCAACAGACGGAATGGCATGTACCCTTTGCTCCTTCCCAGCGTGCTCGACTGTGAAATTGGCCTCGCCTTGCGCTAACCGAGATGGGAATCGTTTGGACTGAACTCTAGGTGTCTGTGTTAGATTTCCCTACGCTAAAACCACGGTTCAAACCCATGAAGGCACCAGACGAGGTCTTTAGCATCGCATTCAGTACAGACGACAAGCAGGTATGTTGGGCCCTTTCCTCCTAATCGCCAAGCAGTTTGCACGCGGAGTGGGTAAATTCACACTCATCCCTCCCTCCCTCCTACTAATAACGCATATATGCTGTGGCCTGTGAAGGTCGCGGTGCTGCTGAGGCGCCAGCTGCGGATACTCAACGCCAAGGACGGCACCACCCTCAAGACCATCAACCCCGTCGTCAAGCCCAATAATGACGCTATCGAGTTCCGTTCTTGCTGCTACGCCAAAGATCGCGGCGCTCCTGTCTTGCTCACCGCCCTGAACGCGTCGTCTCAGAAACACTCGTACATTGTCAAATGGGACATTAAGAGCTGGGAAAAACTACTACAGCATAAGGTGGCCTCGAGCCCTATCACTGCGTTCTGCGTCAGGTAGATACCATCTTAATTCTGCAAAGTGTATACGTGTGCTCCTATGTTGCCGCTGCTTATTGAGCCTGACCGGTGAGATATGTGATGTCCGACTTCTCCTATAGCCGTGACGGCAAGCTGATCGCCTTTGCCACCAAGTCCATGAATGTAGTCGTCTGCTCGACCGCTACCCTCAAGGTAGAGCAGTCCCTCACTCCTGATTTTGCCTGTTGCCCTCCGTGCAATGCATTCGCGCAGGTCTGGCTGACTGTAACCCGCCCTTTTGCTGCAACAACAACTATTGCAGACTCTCATCATAGCACACAACGTCCACAACTTTCCGATAACCTGCATCACATTTGACGCTGAGACCAAGTTTGTTATCACAGGTTCGGCAGACGAGACATGCAAGCTCATTCGGCTCCCTGACAGGTGGCCCAATATTATCGACCACTGTCGCTACTTTGTAGCTGACCACCCCTTGCTCACTTTTTCCATTATCGTTCTCTTGTTTGCCCTACTTTATGCATACGCGTAGTGGTTTCCTCCTTCCTTTGATTTCTGGCTATTTGAACCCAAGTGTTGGTACTTGCTTGCAATAATGCGACTTGTTAGTGCATACGGCAGTGACTGTGTATTATTAGGGCCTCAACGCACAGGACTCTGAATGACGACTTGCCGCTGTAGGTGCTTGGTCTGATGTGGCTTCCAACTGGCCAAAGCTACAGGGGTGGGCAGAATCTGTTTGCTGTGAGCCTTTCTGATAGAGTTGGCCTTAAATAAGCTTCGTTTTCTTTAGAGGACTCGGCTGGATTCAGTGTAGATGGTAACTTCTTCCTGAATGATTTCACAAGCAAAGCGAATAACTTTAAATGCCCATCAGGAGGATCTACTAAATTTCAATTATATTATTACTACTACTATGTATTACGATGTATTTATCCGTCTTTATATAGTAAGCATCCAGTAAAAGGGGTAGTAAAGACATTCTTGGAGGAATACTTGCACCTTTTGTACAATGCACTTGGAGGTTCTTGACGCTGGGGCATATGATCCTCCTCCACTTGAGCCGTGGGGGGGGGCCTGGGTGTTCGGGCAGGCCGGGACCTACCTCAAAGGAACGCCACCACTGCCACTACCTACTGGACACGAACTGGTCAGGTGCTTGAATTATTTACATGCTTATATACCTCCAAAATGGCAAGGTTTTGGCACACGCTCTGCATCAGTAGTATAGCGGTAGAATACTTGTCTTCCAAACAAGTGGCCCGGGTTCGACTCCCGGCTGATGCATTTTTCACCACGATGACCTTGAACGGCGACCATTGCAGATAAATAAACATTGGTCTCCTTTTTTACTCCCTTACTTTTTGTACCACAACACACACATACACACTGTTGAGAGCGCATCACCTATTGGCAGAACTAGTTTCTCTTTGCTCTTCGAGCTAGGACGTGTCGCGCCTTGCCTCACCTCAAGCGACACTAGTTGAATCGTGCGGAGGATAATAACCCGCTGAAATTTGGCGCTATATCCAGTGATCACGATGTGCCAGGCCGTC